GTAGATATTAACACTATTGGTAAATACATGAGGAAATGAAGAATAATTATGAAAATTCTAAACTTACTTATGTTATAATGTACTCCGGAAATTTTATAATTTTTGTAATAACATTGATATTTGCAGGAAATGAAAGCAACATTGGCAAAAATGAAAGGATTGAAATTACTAATAAGATAACAGAAGATAAAGAAATACAGGTTGAGGCAAAACTATCTCTTTATTCACCAAGGAAAAGAAACTTGAGATCCAAAATTGCAATTCTCAGGCAGAAAAACAAAAATGTAGAAAGAAGAATAGAAGTGAAGAAAACGAACAATAAAAGTTTAAATACGTTCGAAGAATGGTTGTCACTTTGTGACAAGTATCTCCCACCTCAAACAGCAACTTTCACAAAAACTCAAGCAAAACTTTATCAACAAGCAAGGAAAGGTAAAAAATATAGTATGGAATTTAAGATGTTTTGCATGAAACTATATTTTTCTGGACCCAGAACATACAAATCTTTGTGTGCTACCTTTTGCCTGCCCACTTCAAGAACTCTCCAACGTACGATACAGAATTTGCAAATTTCACCTGCTCTGCACGATTATGTCTTTCATATTTTAAGAATGAAAATAATGAATTTTGATGACATTTCAAAACTTTGTATTTTGTGCATTGATGAAGCTGCTTTAAAAACTAATCTATTTTATAACATCAATCTGGATGAGGTAATAGGTTTAGAAGATATTGGTAATGGAAAATCCTTTTCACCGGCATGTAATGTTGCTGTTATAATGTTGCGTGGCTTATGCAGTTCTTGGAAACAACCTATTGCCTATTTCTTTGTGAACAGTATATTTAAAGCTGAAAATGCTGCATGTACTATTACTGACGTGGTTAAAAAATTGCAAGAAGTTGGGTTAAAATTGACTGCTATTGTTAGCGATATGGGTAATAATTTTGTAAAAATGGCACACATTCTGGGTGTTGAGAATAACAAACCCTATTTTGAAGTAAATAATCAAAGAATATTTTACTTTTTTGATTCGCCGCATGCTATAAAAGCAGTTCGTAATAATTTTGCAACAAATAATCTTAGGATAGATACAAAATACATATCTTGGTCTCATATCGAAACTTTATATAATATAGATAAAAATAAAAACAACCGATTAGCACCGAAATTAACTGAGTCACATATTCATCCAACAAACTTCGAAAAAATGAAAGTAAAATACGCAAGTCAAATTTTAAGCTGTACTGTAGCTGCAGCTTTACGAACTTACATTTCTATTGGTACATTACCTGAAAATGCAGCAGATACAGCACAATTTGTAGAAAATATGGATAACCTTTTTGATATTTTTAATTCTTCCATAAAAGGGCATTCAAAAAAATATAAGAAAGCATTTGAGGCTGCTGATTTTCAAATGGAATTTTTATTACATATGAAACAATATCTTTCAAACATAAAAATTTATAGTAAGTCAGGCAATAATATTACCAATAAAGTAAAAGTATTTAATTTGTGGGTATCGAACATCAATAGTTTACTTCAATTGTGGTCATATTTACAAACTACTATGCCAAATGTAAAGTATTTATTTACGAGACGCTTAAATCAGGATCCTCTAGAAAACTTTTTTGGCAGAGTTAGATCGTTGAACGGTCATGCTTTTAACCCAACTTCTATACAATTTTACTTTACTTTTAGAAAATTATTTGCTATACAATATTGTAATATAGATACTGGAAACTGTGCAGCAGACAATGATGAGTCTTTAATTAATTTCAGTGAATTAAATCAATCTCGTTTTATTATAGAACAGCCTATTCAAGAAATAAATGTACTTGAAGATCACGACTATCGTTATTTTGATTTAAAAGAAGAAAATGCCTTTTTATATATTTGTGGATATTTAATACGTAAATGTTTAAAACAACACACCTGTGACACTTGTATTCAGTTTTCCAAAGATAATATAAAATTAAATCTTAATACTGCTTACTGTTTCAATAGAGCTTACGATTCTACCGAAGAAAACCTATTTGGTAGCTTATTAATGCCAAATATTAATTTTGTTCATTACATAACAATATTGGAAAAACTCTTTTTTAAACACATACATAACTTGATAACACAAAAGCGCGTAATATTACGTTTACTAACAATATTTACGGCAGTACCATTTCATCATCCATGCCCACATTTTCCAAAACAATATTTAATAAAGTTGTACAGTAGAGTAAGATTATTTTATACATTAAAGTTTATAAACCAACGCTTTAGAAATCAAAAAGGTGTAAAAAAAATTTTTGTTTTGCAACATTTATAAATTTCCTATTATAATCTTATCTCTTTCATTATATGTAGTACCTATAAATAAATACTAATATATTTCTAAAAGCTTCTTAACAATTCATTCTACTGTCAAACTCCTGCACATTTCCTTTATTCATTAATTGTGTGAGATTATAAAAGCTTTGACAGCAAGTAAATTCCCAAATAACGTATGTAAATAGGATATGAAGCAACCCAAATAGCACGAAATATTACATAATATCACAGTAATATTTCCGTAATATTACAATATCCCATAAATATTACGGTAATATTACTGAGGTTGATGTAATATTACGTGCTATGTGGGAGACTTTGTAGCACTACAGGATCTATACGGTTTCTGCTGTTAATTTCCTTGCAATGCCTGTACATAAGCTTCGTCATCACAACATTAATGCAGACATATATGGTTAGGGCTATCATTTAATGATGATAGACTTATCATCAAATTCTGCTGCCAATCTTTGCACGTTTTGGGATTAATTTATTTATTGACACTGCATGTATTGTATACACTATTATCAATAAAATATTAGTGTTCATAACACTTCAATGTTGTATAAAAATGTGTTTTAAAGAATATTTTTTATTTATTATTATTCTTTATATGTTGCAGTTGAACATCAATACAATTATAAGGCACTTTAAGTATGCAAATTGTAATATATGTATATACGTATACATGTATATGTTATTTTAATACGCTTTTAATAATAATTAATAATTATAATAAGTAACAACTGTACATATACATACCCAGATAGTACAAATCACCAAGAAACTTCTTAAAAAATTCCAAAAGTGTTCTGGAGGACTTGGGAGCTCTTTTGGAACTCTTCAAGAAGTCTTTTAACATTTGTGCTATATGGGTAAAACTCTTATCTTGCAAGTGTTATATGTACAATTATACATATACAGGTCTCTTCTTACATATATTATTTTCCTTACTTTCATATTTCATTATATTATATAAGGTATATCAATATATCTATTGTTACAACATTTTATTCGACTTCTGAATCAAACTTTGTTTTACTGTCTACAGTGCAGACAACAATGTTTAACACTGTTTAAGATAATAATTTTTTCTAGCATTAATAGTACTCATTTTTTATTTCATATACGATATATAACTCTAATATATATGATATATACATTCTAATAATTTCATTAACAATCTTATAAATCTATCTAAAACTATTATAGCCTGTAATAAATTAGTCAGCGATAAATTATTGTTACTCGCTACGAATAATATTAATACTAAGCAACAATAATTTATCAATATCTAATTCATGATAGCTAATAATAAATTATTCATACTTTTTTGTAGGAATTTACTGTGGATAGATTCCAATATTCACTGCCAGCACAGTAAATCTATTGATACAAATTTATTGTATTCATATAAATGTATTGTATTATGTGATAACAAACTATACATTCTCAATACTGACTATGAATATCGGAATGCACTCTGTATTATACTGCAATATATTTCTTTTTGAAATTTGGCGCTTCCGCAACCAAAGACATGGCGATAGGTCACGTGATTGTGAAACTCCGACATCAAAGGCACCGACAGTTACTGTCGTAACTGGTTATACTTAAACTGTGCCATCGCGCTATACGCTCCGCCTACCGACTTACCTATCGCGGCCTACCGAAACCGCGATCCGGTAACTGGCGCCGTCACCCAGAAACTTTGTATACTAATACGCGAACACTCTGTACCAAGGCTAAATAAATCTTTTTGTTATTTTTATCTTACATTCCGCGTCCGTTTATTTCACGAACCCGGACTCCGACGAGCGAATACATCCGCGGCAACGACACCAACCGACACGCGGAGTACGGTTGTTACAAAGTTTGGAATGTGTTGACAACCTTCGATATTTAGTAGTTTATGAAACATGAGAAAATTAGGAATATAAGTATATTTTTGTAAACATTATGATTTTCTTATTTTTCACCTTCACATAATAATTCTCAGTATTTGATTACTATCAATATTTAACAGTGATTTTATTATCAGTATTCATCAGAAATTAAGTACTGGCCAAAAAATTACTGAATTACTGGTAATATTTAATCACTAATAATTTTTCAATATTTCTTAGTATGATATTTCTATAAGGGCAGTATACCACCCTTATAGAAATATCATACTAAGAAATACTGAAAAATTATTAGTGATTAAATATTACCAGTAATTCAGTCATTTTTTTTCATTTTGACGTGAGTCTGTTAGTTGGGCTGATTCTTGTGTCTTTCACCTTACCTACTGCGTCACTGTCACTTTGATTGAGAGACGCTTCATATTGTGTATATATGGTATATCCATATACGAAAGCATATGATTTATTTAAAAGAAGAAAATAGATTCTTTTAAAATATATGTTTTATAAAGTATGTAGAAAGTATATTTAAAAAATACTTATATGTCTTAAAAGTAAGTAAAATAAATTATTTTGTAAATTTAAATAAATTTTTTTCTGATAATAAAAGAAACTTTAATTTGAAACATAAAAAAATACTTTTA